GCCAGCTGCTGCCTGCATATTTATGTAATATCTATATACTCATTACACAGATTTGTACTGACCACACTGATCACCTGCTCTGCTCTCTTGTATATAGCCTGGTGTACCCAGCAGCAGCCACTCACTGGTTTAATGCATACCGGTACAAAACCTTTCGTTAAACCTAGCTACGTTAATTCATATATATAGTTTATATATATACACACTCGTTTTGAGAAATTAATTGTTGCAATACTTGCTTGTGCTTACTTTTCATCAACCCTTTTCCACGTTTTTCAAAAAATACCACAACGGTTTGTTGACTCTCTCTCCCATAAGCAGAAAGGAGAGATGCCTATTTGTGTTTCAGCACCTAAAACCATACAAACTAACTCCAGAACAGAAAGAAAAAAATAGAAAAGAAGAATTATTAATTCCCAGTTTAAATTTCAAGACAGCAAAACCAACAGTGAGTTGAAGATGATCATGTTCTAGGGCTTTGATCATTTCAGCTTTCAAGTAATGTGTACAGTCTGTATGCTCAGAGCTTATAAGTTATACGCAGTTTTCCTTTTCGTTCTTTTCAATAATATTCTGAACATATAGCTATCTCGACCTCCAATGTAAAAGAAAAAGGTTAGCTCTTTTTTATTGGTCATCAAAAGAACAAGGGTTGGCTATGCAAAGGTTTCTGACCTAGTGACCATTAATATTACAAACAGTAGAATATTGGTCTATGCTGAAGAATCATATAATTCGTTAGGACTCAAGATTTCCACATTGGAAAAATAGCATATTTTAAGAGCTCTTGGATATCCTCCCTTTAGAGCCGGTTTTTAAAGGTTGGCTATGCAAAGGTTTCTGACCTAGTGACCATTAATATTACAAACAGTAGAATATTGGTCTATGCTGAAGAATCATATAATTAGTTAGGACTCAAGATTTCCACATTGGAAAAATAGCATATTTTAAGAGCTCTTGGATATCCTCCCTTTAGAGCCGGTTTTTAAGAGCAAGTTCTACCCATGGGCTCTTAACATAGTTCTTACAGAAAATAAATAATGTTAGGGAGATAATTATAAATCTACGTGACTGGGGGATATGTATTGATGCCTCATTGAAAAACTTGAACAACAGCAGTACCAAAATGGAATTGTAGCAATCAATTCTGGTCACATTTTTTCTTTCAAAAGATTACAAAGATGTAGGATCTCCCTAAATAGAGAGTTAATTAAAAGAACATGATATGTATATATAGAACTCAAGACTTAAATGAGAATCTAAAGGTAATTAAAGGAATAAATAAAAGAAATTAACATAGATCCCATGAGAAATTAATAAGGGCAACTTGGATGGAATTAAAGCAAACAACTAGGGAAACAAACTTTGGACACAGACAGAGCTAGCTTTAAACATGGATTCTAAGCTTGTATGGGAATTAATTTGGAGATGATATGTATGTCAGTTTAACTAACAAAAAAAAGGGAAACCAAAAAGCTGTATCTTGGGTTCTTTTCCCCACATGCATTACTGATGAGCACAGCAAAAACACCAAAACAGACACCTTGATTTGCTTCTAAAATGAAAGCTTGAGTGACAAATCAACAGGATTATGATAACTGTCAGCCCCAATCCCATAGCCATAACTAGAAGCAGTAATATCAGAAGGTTCTTCATGGCTCCCCACTGAAACTGAAGCTTCTGCTGTTTGCCACATCTCTGGCTCCTTGGGACAAGTGCCTCCTCTCATCTCACTACTTTTGCCACCAGCAGCTGGGAAGAAATCATATTCCATGAAAATACCACCACCAGCTGAGCTCCCTTTTCTGTGCACTGCCCTAACCTCTACCCCCTACAAACCCAATACCAATCAAATTACATGATCAATTCAGCAAAGCAGTATTTAATCAGTATATTCAATCAAATTTGAAAATGGGTAAATATATTCAGAGTAACAAAAGAAAAGAAAATGCATCAATCTACCAAAACAAAAGCAAATATATTCATATTGGACTCAGATTTTTGCTTCTTTTATATGTAAGATTAAACTTTATGCTTGTTCTACCTGATCATCATTGCGGTAGCCCGAGTGAGTCCCCACCACTTGACCACCACCGGCTTCCGGGTTCAATCTGAGAAAACCAGAACTGTTGATTGGTATACAAGCCGCAGATTTGCCACTCCTGCCGTTTAAGCCCATGTAATTCCGACTATTGAGCCTCTTCTTCTGCTACTCAAATAAAAAAAAGATACAAAAAGGTCAGCAAGTTTAAGCGTAAATTGAAAAAACAAACAAAACAAAAACAGTGGGAAAAAAATGTATTAATGTAACAGTACTCATCAACTAATATAGTTACTTGGTAAACTTTGTCTTAAGAAAGAAAGACTTCGCTTTTCCCACGTTTTCTCGGAAACCAAGCAAGTTGTCTTTTTTTTAAACAAATATAAAAAAACAGAAAACTAAAGAAAACTATACACCTTCTTGCAGCAGATATCACAGCAATCAGAAGACAAAGGTTGAACCTTTGGTATTGAAGAGAGCTCTTTCGAGGTCTCAAACACAGCCCCAACTTCAAACCTCGGATCCGGAGCCCCGATTGCGTACGGACTCGGGTTTAGGTCCACCACCAAATTATTACCTCCAACATAACCAAACCCATGACCATTCCCAACCCTCTGACCCACAAAACCAAACAAGCCATTACCACCAGAGCCTTTGATCAGCAGTGGTCCATTGTAGCTGGATGCACCGTACTGTACTGGAACACTGGCAAGCGGGCCGGGTAGGGTTCTGGTGGGGTTCTGGTGCTGAAAGTTCTGGTACTGATGATGATCAGGAAGGTTGACAACTTGGGGTTGGGGTTGCAGTTGGGGCAGTTCCGTCATTTTCTTCCAGCGGTCTTGGAGCCTCAGGCGCTCCAGCTGAGCAACACCAAGACCTCTTTGTGGTTGCTTTTTAGAGTTTGAGGCTTTGCCGGATCTCTTAGTGCCTTTGGTGGATTTGGTGGACTCGGGTTTGGATTCCTCGTAGAACCCGACAAGGGTTTTGGTGGGGTCTTGTGTTGTGCTCTGTTCTGAGGCCATTAGCAGCATTGGCGTAGCCATTTCAGGAAAAGTGATGATCAAGCTTGAAACTTTAGTGTGTGAAATGGGTTTTGAGAGAGAAAAAATACTTGGGTTTGTGTCAATATTGGAAATGGACAAATGGGTAATGCCTTTTGACTGAGAGAGAGAGAGAGAGAGAGAGAGAGAGAGAGAGAGAGTTTTGGCTTTGGCTTTGGCTTTTGCTTTGGCTTATGTTTTTAAGGTTGGAGATGGGTGTGTTTGATTGAGAGAGAGAGGGAGAGAGGCAGAACAGAAGGGTAGAAGAGCTACTGGGGATGTGTGTGTGTGGAGGGCTAAAAGGACATGGCAATGCCTCTGTTTTGCTTTTAATCTGTGTTTGTGTAATTTGTTCTCTAGTGACTTTTGCTAGCTCCAACCCTCTTTTCTGCTATTTCTCATCACACAATCTCCTTGTCCTTTGTAAATGCTCTCAAAAAAGGACATTGAAATAGCAAAACTGAGCTTGGACATAGCACCTTATCTATTCCAGATAAAGTACAAATCCCATAGAGAATTCTCCCCAAGCCACCCAAAGTTCCTTAACTGTATGTCACGGTCCAATCAAAACGTTGCTTTAGGTGAAGTACAAAGCACTTGACCAATTGTAGCTAAAGCTAAAGCTACAACAACATAGTACCCAGAGACATGTGTCAAGAGCTCAGAGGACAGGCCAATTTGTACCTGCAGGCATTGGTCGGAAAACCAAAGAGTTATTTGTCCAGTCGGCAGCTATATAGGTGCGCCAAAACAAGCAGTGCCATTGTATACAGCACAGCAGCTTTCAGCCTTGGCATATATGGCAAGAGAATTATTAGGTTTTTGAAGCTTTATGTTCAAAAAAAGTCAATTTCTTTGCCATTTAGCTATCTAGCTTTTATGGCCCAATGGGTTATTAGCCCTCTGATCATGATCATCATGATCATCATGGCCTATGGCTGATGGGGGTTTTTGGGGCTCCAGAAAAGAGAGAGAGCTGATCTTGATGGGGATGATCAGGTGGTGGGTGTGGAGGATGCACTAACAGTCTAACCCTTAGTGAAGAAACTGCATCTAGCTATATAGCTCTCTGGAAATCATATTGTAGAGCAAGATATGGCTATGAAGAAAGTGAATCTGATGCCTCTATATGGTACAGGCTTAGGCTTGCAATGATGCCTTCGTCTGTATATTACTGGGGCTTTTTGAGTAGGGAACAAATTGAAAGAACACGGACTTATTCTAGCAAGTAATTAATGTACATTTATCATGAAATGTTGGAAAGGGCACCCTTGATTGCTAACGGGATCTAGCTCAATGCAAAAGAGTCTTAGACTTGCATACTCATGTTCGAACCCCCATTACACCGGGCTATGAAGAAAGTGAATCTGATGCCTCTATATGGTACAGGCTTAGGCTTGCAATGATGCCTTCCTCTGTATATTACTGGGGCTTTTTGAGTAGGGAACAAAATTGAAAGAACACGGACTTATTCTAGCAAGTAATTAATGTACATTTATCATGAAATGTTGGAAAGGGCACTCTTGATTGCTATCGGGATTTAGCTCAATGCAAAAGAGTCTTAGACTTGCATACTCATGTTCGAACCCCCATTACACCCTCTTGATTTGGAGTAATTAATCGTTTCTAGCTTCATAAAAATAAAATTAGAAAAGAGTTGAGTTAGAATAATTGGGTTCATACATTGCCTAAAAAAAGGTATTTGTGATATTAATGAACTCCTTTTGTGGGAAAAATATTTCAGGAACAATAGTTCCAATGTGAATTTAACTCCAACCCCTAAATGATATTGATTTAGTTTCCTTTTAAAATAATAAAAAATCATATATAACAAACCTAACCATTGATGATTTAACTGCATAATGACAAAAAGGGGGACCAAATGTTCTAAAGGAAGAAACTCTCTCTTTCTTGGCAAAAAATTAGGTGTTGTTTCTCCAAAGACCGTCAATACATTAGTCATGATGCATGCTTTACTAGCAAATGAAGATATAAGCGGAAAACTAATTTTCTGAATCAGAAACTATGATCCCCCGATCATTGGAAAATATATAGCAGAAAACTAATATTGTGTTAAAAGTATGTGTTAAAACCTCCAATACGAGAAATAATTAAAATATGTTATTGGAATACAATCACGTGATATAACTCGTTAAGACGAAGAAACTTAATACGAGACTTCACCTAACTAGCTAAAACTTAGCCTAGACATTCAAGATTAGCAACAACTACCCGTATGTTAAAATAACATCCGAACAAAATTGATCTTCCTTCCTTCCTTCTTCTAATCATAGAAAGCAAAGTGTAAATGCATGAAACCCATTTCACACAATATTTTTGTACACAAATTAAGCATGTTACAGCGACATTACGCACTTTCTTTGGTCAAGAGCCCAAACAGCGTGACCAACCGACGCGTGTCCATATACCATCTGAGAAATACAGTCCGCTCCGGAGTCCGGTCCATAGAGGACCACCGTAGGGGTATGGTAGGGTGTACAAACTCGCGCCGTCCTAATCCCACGTCACCTCGTGACAATCTCTCCAATCATCACCTTCCACGTCACCCGGCGGGCTCCACTTTCCATTTATGGAATTTTCTCTTCCTTGGATTTTTGCTGGGTTTGGATAGACATGGTGGATTATCGGCGTCTGGTGAGCAGATTGTGCCCCTGCATAGAATGATTGAGAGAGTAGAGGATGCGCCCACATACATACTTGTTGCCTTGGTTGAGGACCACTTCACACGTGTTGCTTTCTTTTCTTTTTATGTTTTACAAATTGTAAGTTATTTTAATATATAGAGAGGAGGATTGAAGTCACACTGCTTTAACCAACTAACCTAACTCACTTATGTTGTTGCTTCGACTACTTCACCTTGTTTCTCTTACTAAAGCATTAATGCGTTTTTTTGTGGGCTTTGTTTCGACTACTTCACCTTGTTTCTCTTACTAAAGCATTAATGCGTTTTTTTGTGGGCTTATTTAGTATAATTTTCCTAAGCAAATTGCCTTGAAGTTACAACACTATATTTGAGTTGGACGGAAGTATTTAAAAAAGGATTTACATTTGAGTTATTTGGAATCCATTGGATTCAAAGGAGCTACAATTTAAAACATCTTAAACTCTCTTCAAGTTTTATGGTAAATTCAAATGGCTTTGTGCTCGTAAAGATTCGAACCTAAAACATCTACGTTTTTACCATCTTCACGAATTACAACTTTAATCAAGTTAATTAATGAATGGTAACAATGCCAATCAAAACCAAATTGTTGAGATCATCACAATCCCATTTAGATTTTACTTGGTAGGTATAAAACAAAATTGGACTCAAAGGGCATTAAAGAAAGAATTGGTAAGCAGTATTGTGTCCTAGATGTTTCCTAGTGGTTGCTATAAGGAAACCAGAGAAAAGAGCAACTGCTAGTTCTGGCTTTATGCAACTTGTGAAAGACCTAACCATTTTTTAACAAAATAACCACACACACCCAAAAAAAAAAAAAAAAAAAAAAAAAAAAAAAATCCCTCCATGCCCCACTTTTACATAAAACAGGACCACACAGGCCACAGGGGGGAGATATAATTATTTAGATCTGAATCTGAACTGAGATTCGGTGTCTTTCTCTTATGAGTTACTTTTACCATATTGCCCTCAACTACCATCCTGAAATGGGCAAAATGTGTCTCATATGGCATGCATGGCCCAGTGAGGCAGTGGTACATGCAGATTTAGCACATGTCTTACACTGGGATAGGAATTTGATGGAGGGACCAGATGAGCAGCATGCTGGGGTGGGGGTGAATCTGGGCCGTTCAAGGAAGACAAATTTGTGCAAGAAATATTCGGTTTCTGTATGGCATTTATGTGGCACTTGGGTGAATTTTGCATGCATCAAGAAGTCGCTGTCATCTGTTTTTTGTGTTGGCATTGCGAGATTTCTGTACAAAACAAAAGACTCAGACTTGAAAGCAAGATGTGTCTAGCTACAAGCTAGGTGCAGCATATAAACACACAGACACTTTTTATTTATGCAACCCACCCATACAAAATGAATTAAATAAACTTGTAGCAATTAATATATAATTAAAACTCTGCATTTATTTTGAAAATAAACAGCTTTTATAAGTAGGAATCCATTCTTTTCTTAATTATGAGTTTTTTTTTTAATTTTTTTTTTTATATACAAGCGATAATCTACTTTAAACTAATCTAAACTACGGGGAGGGGATTCGAACTCAGATACAAAGTGAGGAGCACATCCGTTCTAACTAACTTGGCTATGCTCAGTCTGCAAGTTCTTAATTATGAGTTTTTGTTTGTAGTATTTGCTTATAACAAAAGGGTAAAAGGGAAAAACATATATAAGAGATTATAAACCTTGGTTAGGCAAAGATTCTTTCCTCCTTTCTTAATGTCTGCTGCGTTGAGACTTTAAAACAGAAATCAATATGGCAGTAGGATTCTCTACTTCTTATCTTCTTCTTTTCTCTCTCTTTATTTGGTATACGATCCACAGATAAAAAGGAGGTTTCTGCTGCAATAGAGACTTTGAAAGAGAAACCAACACCAATTAATTTCAATAACTTGCAGGGATAAACAGGAAAGTGGAAATGAAGATGACAAATTATGATTTCCAAATAGTGGGGACCAAAGAAATATGCCTCAAGTCAAACCAAAAAGAAGAAAAAGCAAAATCCCTTGAGTTTGCCTAGAGAAACATATTTACAAGTATAAAATAAAGTGTATGTACAAAACTGGAGAGCTCACTTCTTTATCTATATTTACATATTCAAAGTAGGTTTTGCAAACGCGACACTCTTAGGGAGGATGAATGAGGCACACAACATCCATTTTCCTGGTGCAACAAGGCGTACCCTACGCATTTCTACATCAACTGCCACTTCTGAAAGTGCAATTCTTATTCTCTGCATTGATTAACAAAAGAAGACGTAAAAATGCATGAAGGAAAAAAGTTTAAAAAATAACTGAAATACACAAACACGTGAGTATTCAGCAACGTACCTGATGAAAATCAAACTCCGGATCTTGAGCTTTGGAGAATCCATAAACATGGATCTTTGGCAAGGTAAATTCTTCATCCATGGATCTGTCTACTAATATTCCTCGAAATGCATCTGTTCAAAGAGACAAAATCACACGGAGGGAGGGAGAGGGAGAGTTTAAGTATTGCATAGCAGCAGCAATCCAACTTTAACAACTTCAGAAACCAACTGATTTACAGTTAACTACTCTTTCACACATAGCAGAACAATAGTGACCATCAACTAAGGTGTCCCTTCCTTCAGTAGGTTCTAGAAAACTATTTCTCTAAAAAAGACAACTAAAGTCTAGCAAACGATACCCAACTAGCTAAAATGTGACCCAATCCCCTAAGAACCAGGTGATCGCTCTGTTTAGAAACATATAATTAGTGAGTTTTGCCTTCCCATCAATCATGTATCATTAATTGCATGTGCACGAGGACAAACATAAACTATGATCAAGTATAAGTGAGCAATTACACAAACCAACAGTTAAAAGGATGAAATTTACTTGCAATCAAGAAGTAAAAGGGTAATAAGTCCAACACACCTAGATACTCTGCAGCGTCATTTGGCAA